AATTTGTGCCCATTGCCTCTTGCCCTGTTGGTGGGCACTACTGAGGGTGATGGCTCCCTCCGCTTCCATCCCATGATGATGATCCTATTAATTGATAAGATCCACCCCTGAGCCTTCAACAGGCTAAACAGTCCCAGCACTCTCAGCCTCATGCTCCAGACCCTTCCTCATCGTCGTGGCCCATCCCTGGACTCTCTCCAGTACATCCATGCCTTGTACTGGGGATCCCAGCACTGGACACAGCGCTCCAGGTGCGGCCTCACCAGCGCAGAGCAATTTCCCCAAGGAGTCCGGGGAAGGTGCATTCTGCCACTGCTGAAAGAAGGGCCTATCCAAGGTAAAAAAAAACCTCACAAAAATTCATCCTTCTCAGCTGTTCTTGCTGCAAACGTAGTTAAGTATATATACACTGATGGAAAGGAATAATGGGTTTAAACATACTGGATTTGAAATAAACGTGATGCTGTAAGTCATTCTCAAGGAAAAGCTACACACTTTCATTTGAATCATCCTAATGGAACGTTTACTTGCTTGGGAAGTCGTAGTGAGAGAGGCCATGCTCTCTGAAGCTGATATTCTGTTACTGTGGGATAGTATCTAAATCCTTAAGACAGGCACACGTGCAGACACCAGCGACGCAGCCTTGGCATTGCTGAGCTGGAAGGGCTGTTCAGCTGCTGGAGGCTGTAGCGGAGCAAGAACCACAGTACAGCCGTAACATGCTTCAGACACTGGACTACTTACCAGAAATACAATTTAAATGATGTGACAAGCAAAGTGAGTAAAAGCAACCACACCTCTCTGCTTAGAGATACATTTTTATTAGAATGCAGCAATGCCTGTCAGAAATAACATTTTGATCATCTAATTTTACAGTGAAAACCCATTGCATTGTGAGGTTCTCGTTTCTTGCCCCTTATTCTATTTGGGCTTTTGAGGCAATATCCAAGTTCAGAACAGCGTTGTTATAACTGAAAATAAGGCAGCTTCCTACAGGTTCTTTCACATGGGATCAGTTAAAATGAAAACCTGTATAAAATTGATTTTTTTTCCCACTATGATAAAAACACGTACCTGTATTTCTCAAGAGCTGTACTTAACATTCATTCATAAAGATGACTTCTTGCTTAAGGCACAAGAGAACAAGTATTTTCTTCATAAATGTTACAGGTTTCTTTGAGGCACAGAGATAAACGCACTGAATGACAATTTCTGTCTGCTGGACTCAAGTGAATAAGATGTCCGAGTCACATAAAAGAAGCCCTATTATGTTATATCTTTTGTAAACAAAAACTAGTTTTTGTTCATACTGACTCATGGACATGTGTAAAATATAGATAATCTGCAAGTAGTAATCCAGCCACCATTCGAGAAAAATAACACCTATCTGTGTTGTAATTTATGAGAATGTTTCTGAAAGGTCCAGAAGTCAATATGTATTTGCTTTCAGTTTTTTAAAAAGATGCAAGTTTCTACAGGCCACAAAACCACAGTGTCAGCATATTTATTTTTGCAAGTGGTGACCTGGAGACTGTGTGCTGCAACATGGTATTCCTGAGGAAACAGAATTCCTTTTTTAAATTTCCCTGGGATTTATTAATTTGATATCCACCCAAACTCCAGTGCTAAAACAGTGGGAGCAAATCTGTATCATTATAAACAATACAGAAACACCTAAAATACAATTCCTTGTTACATGCTGAATACCTTCACAGACAAAAAGAAAAATTTTAAAAATCTGAATTTTGTTCACTTTTTTGATCATATAAATTTTACAGAGAAGGTGTTTACCGGTTCTCCCACCAAAACCCAAAGATTTGAGTGAGAGAGAGTGAGCGGGGAAAGATGACAACCAATCACTTTGAAATTCGGAAGTGTTTAGAAAACACCAAGTTTGTTAGTCAGAAGGAATGAAGTGAGGGGATGGACGGGGAGTACAGAAATAGTGCTTAATCGTGTATGCAATAAAAAGATTTTGAAGGAAAAGGGTTTTTTCCACGCCTTTCTAATTGTATTGAGAAACGCACTAAAATCCTCTTCCATGAGAACACAGAACACTACAACACCACCAGATGTGCTTGATGCATTTCTTTAAGCCTTGTATTTGCCAACATGTTCACGAGCTATGATCATCCTTTGAACCTGAGCAGTTCCCTCATAAATCTGAAAAGAAAAATTAAAATAATGTTAGCTGCTCATTTTAAAAAATATTTTTTCAACAGATCTTTCTACACTTGTAAATCTTCATAGCACTAATCCAGTGTGGATTAGGATGTGCAGAAAGACAGAGAAAACTGAAAAAATTCCAGTGTGACTTGAGTAACTACAAGATATCGAGAGACAGTCTTGTTCTCTCAGATGCTCTCATCAAAACTCAGTAAGGTTCTCATGAAAGTAACAGACATAGTGGGTGAAGAAGGATGGGGAAAATGTCTTATCTGGGGAAGAAAATACGTAATTTAGGTTTTACAAATTAGGTTTTAAAACCGTGTGGAGGGGAGGAGGTGACCTGTGCTGAAAGTGTGGTATTTTCTTTGACTAGCCTTTCAAGGCCGTAGCAAATGTTCCCTTTCATCCATTTATTCCCTTCAACATAGTATTTATTTTTTTCTTTTTTTTTTTTTTTTAACCATGTATTCTTGCACTTTCCTCCAGAAACATTCTGCATCCTCTGTTCTATTTGGCTTGCTGGCAGCAAAGCCAGAGATACACAATGTATACACACGTATGTAGGTCTAATGCAGAAAGAAGGCCATATACTCCACAGGTACAGTGCAACGTGATTCGAGGGCAACATATTTTAGGGGTTTAAGTGTTTCAGCTCCCAGTTCTGCCAAAACTTGCTTTGGCAAATTGCTTACATGCATGCAAATTCACTTTCTCTGTAGTCATAAAATAAGAGATAATCTTCCCAAACCTTACAAAGCTTTTCAAAAATAAAGACACTATAACCTGTGGTCACGTTAGTTTTTTGGTTCAGAGGCAATTGTTCATTCTCAAAGTGATTTCTCTGCTGCTTACCCCGCATCGATTCAGTTCATCGAGCAGATTTTGCTTTGTCAGTCCTAGGTGCCCTCTGGAGCAAACTGACCTGGAAGCTCTCCTCTCTGCATACCCCCAGTACCCTCCGAACCCTAATGAAGACATAATGGTCCCAGGCTACAGCTGGACCTTACAATGACGCGCATAGTGAGGACGTTCAGTCCAAACAGGCCTGCTGTGAACTTGGCCTCCCCAAAGCACATACAATAGAATCGGGGGCCTCAGCAGCTCCTCCTGCCATCCGCTAATCTGCTCCTGCTGCACTGAATTCCTTGCTGATGAAGACAGCCATGAAACATAAGTGTGAAGACATCAAAACCCACAGCCTTCTTAATTAACCATGAGAAAGGTTTTGGTTTGCAAGCCAATGGGAGTCGAGAATCCTGGACAGTTAAAGAAGGGAAAGTTTTCTGAGTTTGAGAAACCAAGTTACAAGTTTCTATCATAGTAGCCTAGATTTGTAGCCAGAGAGAAACCAGGAGCAAAGCATGGACACCTGGGAACGTTACCAGAAAACACAGTAGCAGAATTGTGTCATACCGAGAAATAATCAAATACGTGGAAGAAACACGTGGAAAACAAAGTTTCTATACATGAAACCTATGGCCAAAAGCATACACCATCTGGAATTGGGCAGTAATATAGTGAAGCGTAATCAAGAGACATGGATGAAATAACTGTAAAGAGAAAAGCCTTTCCTGTATTCTTTTGGGGATGAAGGGAAGCAGAAAAACAGCAAAGATGTAATAATAAATCATTAATTTGAACAATTAAAAAAAAAAAGTCTATCTAGTCATGCATTCGTGATGGATCAGTGTAATGGAAAATCTAAATAACTGGAATCCTGTAAAATCAGTCTCAACTTTCAAATAAACTTCTAACCCTCACTCCCTCCCTCTTTTTCTAGAAACACACGGAACCTGACAGGAAAAAAGCCCAATCATAGCAAAGTTCAATTACTCATTCATTTCCTCACTTGCAGGAGTGCAATTAGTACTAAGAACCTTTAGATTCCAAAACAGCAGTTTTCTATCCTTGGATAGAGAAAAATTCTTGGCTAGTGAGAATACTTTTCATTTTAAAGTCAGCTGTAAGAGAAATTTCAACTACCTAGAATCTTAAGAATGACAGCTGTTATAATTAGCACTATAGATCATGGTCCACATGCATTTCTTGATACCATCTATTTTGTCATATCTATTTTTTTTATATTCTATACCATCTATTTTGTTTATAATCTAGTCATTATTAATGTCAGAAAGAGGTGAAAAGATAAAGATTACTGGTTTTCCTGGACATAATTAAATCATTCTGGCTGAATAAAGAACTGTAGCATAGAGAAGAATTATGACATGGAATAATTTCTTGGTAATAATACTGCAGAAAAAGATCTGGGGATTATGGGTGACTATGGGCTAAACGTGAGTAAATATAAGCATGTTTTGTTGTTTGTTTTGTTTTTTTTTTTTTAAAAAGAGGCTAATCGCTCCAGGTTGTGCCACACTTCTGTTAATACAACATATGCAAGATAATTAATCCATGATACTCAGTGGTGGTGATATCTCAACTGAAGTAATCTGCCCAGTTTATGATTCCAAATTTTCAGACAGAAGGTTTAGATCACAGCAAGAAGTGATGAAGAGAACAGCATTATACATAAACCTACTTATAGAATACCGAAGCAAGCATTGGTATTTTGATGAGTGTTTTCTACAGTCCTTTTTTCTAAGAGTTCAAAAGTTTCAAAGTGAAGAGTCCAAGAATTTCAAAGAGTTACCACATCAGAAAAACAAAACCACACCACTAAATTTGTTTCTCTTGTGTAGGTTAAGTTGTTGATCTAATGCAGAGAGTTTTGTATGCAAGAATTTGCCTGATTTGAATGCTCTTTCTTTAAATGGAAGGATTATTGCTCTCATCCTCAAAACTTTTTTTATATGTGTACATCATGATTTCAAATAAGTAGCCATTAGTTTATTTTATATAAAATGTATGCATTACTATAAAGATCACATTCTCTCTTTTACTCACCTGGTAGATTTTAGCATCTCTCATTAGTTTTTCTACAGGATATTCAGTATTAAATCCATTTCCTCCAAAAATCTGCACTGCATCTGTAGCTACTTGGTTTGCAACATCACCCGCGAACGCCTTTGCAATGGAAGCATAGTAGGTATTCCTGCGACCAGCATCAACTTCCCACGCTGCTCTCTGGTAAGCCATCCTAGCCAGTTCCACTTTCATTGCCATTTCAGCAAGCATGAAAGACACTGCTTGGTGCTACGAGTGATGAAATAAACTAGGTTAACACTGCCTGCTTAAAATTCCGTGACATCCAAGAAGAATATAGTCTTCTTAATTTCTTAATTTGTGCATTCAACACACTCAGGAAATTGTACTTAAGGAGTTCTACAAAATTTGGATCAGGCTTTCATAACTGTATATTGAATTAGACTTTCAAGTTTTTAATTCTAAAAGCCATGTAGTCACAGGGATTAAGTATTGAATTATGAAGTTGTGCTTTACTTTTTATGAGATCTGTATTTAGTTTGATGTTTATTCATATTTCTTTAAGCATGGTAAGCAGTGTGATTGGCAATGTATTCCATTAGTATTAATACTGTGAGTCTTGTTTCATGTACCTCAGGGAGGTTTTTTCCTTCCCTGAAAATCCCTGTTCGTTAGAATTGAAGAACTTAAGTATGTCCTGACAGTGCATGAGTTTCAGGGTTTTGGGCGGAGTTTTCTTTGTGATTTTACTATTATCATCAATAAGTTATTGAAGAATCCCAGGAGTTACTGCATAGCTAGATTTACTTAGGTAGTGCTGACCTATATACTTGAAAACCCAAGCAATGGCAGAGATATAATAAATGACACGTCCTAAATATCAAGGAGCAACCTTGAAAATTCACTAGTAGTGCATCTGGTATGAAAACATTGCTTTATGATATATTTCTTTTTATATATTTAACTTACTTCAACAATTGGTTTCCCAAAGGTTTTTCTCTCCAAAGCATATTTAGTAGCTTCATCGAGTGCTCTTTTTGCTAACCCGACAGCACCAGCTGCTACCTGAATTAAGTATAGCACAGAATGAAAATCAGAAATTCCTATTATATTTTTTAAGTAACTTATTTCTGATACTTACGGGTGGTCTGGTCTTATCAAAAGCTCCCATTGCAATTTTAAAGCCAGCTCCCTCAGCTATTAATACATTTTCTTTTGGAACTCTCACATCTTCAAAGACAATACCTCTTGTATCAGAGCAGCGCTGACCCATGTTTATTTCCTGAAAAGGGAAGTTTACAGAGGTGCAACTAAATTGGATTCTTCCAGGGTACAACACATTTTCATTCTTTAGTTTACTCAAAGCATAAAGGAAGCTTCCCCCCGCTCCCCCCAACACTTCAGTTTTACCTAAAAAACACCATATACACAACAAATACCAGTTTTGCATTTACAGACCAGCACGCCCTTAAGTTGTCAAAGCTGGGCAGTTTACTTTCTCCATATGTGAAATTAATTCTGTAGCTGTAATCACTCATTTGTTCTTTTCTAGTTCAATTATATCCTTTGAGATGGGAGAGAAAAAAGTAAAGAACCTAAAATGTAGGCAGAAGTAAAATACAGCTGTACTACAAACAAACAATGAAATAAATGAGATTTTCAAGTTTTCTGATTCCTTTCCTAATGTTCAATGTGCAATTTTGCCTGCTACTAAAAATAGTACTTTCTTTGTTTTCTTTTTTTTTTCCCCCTCTCCCCCAAAAGAGAACTAGCAGCAGTGTATCTGAGGCCTATTCCTTGAGCAGTAGCAGCTAAAATTAAAGCACACCATGTGTTTACGGTTAAAGTTGTCCACCTTGCTTCTTACAGTTTCAAGGCCTGCTACTTCACATTAATTGGCACTTATCAATTAAATGGTTCTCAAAGATTCTTTTGCAGCTGGGCAAAGCCATCTTACTTTAGACCATTCAGAATAATTCCTTATCTGAATTTATAACATTATAATTATTAAGTATGTCTTATGAATAGTTTCTGCATGCTGTGAAAATGAAAATATCATTGTACATGAGTACATGAAAACGTTCAGTTGCTTAACAGTTTTTTTCTTTAATGGCAATTTGTTACATTATTGGTTTAGAAGCGAATAATAATTCCTGGCTTGTCAAATAAGAGGTACACTGTTCACCTTTCTTCCAATTTGGATTCCAGGGCTATTTGCTTCCACAATGAATCCAGTAAAGGCTTTGCTTGCAGGAGCTTTTGGATCTGGATTGGTACGAGCTAGCAAAAAATACCTAGTGTAAAACAAAGAAGAGGGGAGTCAGTTTATCCTCACAATTAACAATCAGATACTTTTTTAGCTAACATGGTAAATGTTTTTATGTGTGTTTGTACCATATAATAAATCTATCAACAAGTTAACAACCTTTTTTTCTTGTCCCTTCAAAAAAAAAAACTGAGAGGGAGTGAGGGAGAGGAAGCATCAGCGCATCTCTTACTGCGAAAGTCAAGATTTATAAAATTACTTCAGATCAACATACAAAGGTTCTCCACCTTTTCCATGTATTGTAAGTCTTAATATTACAATCAGCTTCACAAATAGTACAAAAGAAACCTATTCACAGCACATACGTAAAAATTATTGCTTAGGAAATACAGCATTGCATGCAAAATGCTATGTTATCCTCTTGATTTCAAATATCTTAATTTTATTCTTCTAAGTATAAGTTGTAAATAAGTTTTTTTCTGCTAGAAATGAAACAGTTGTAAATCACATTTGTGGTGTTCAGTAACCTCAAAAGGTAGCTGGTAGATTCTCTTTGATGGTTCTGCCTTGAACAAGGAAATAAATAACGAGAAAATTCAACTTTATACATAAATGTATAAAGTTTTTCCTCTTGAATTAAAAAGAATTTATGTGTTGGGGATGAGCATGATCTTAAATGAGACATGATGAAAGAGGTCTATATTTTAAAGCACATTTCATGGACACCGCAGCAAAATCTGGATTCTTTGACACTGGGAAAATGTCTTCCCTTAAGAAAATAAAATGTAACTCCACGATCCTAGAATTTTTCTATCTTCACTAAAAGTGGGAGATGTTTCCAGGAGAATCAGAAGCAACTGGTCTCCATCACCACACCCACAAAGCAAGGTCGCTTGTAACATGAGCCTCCTGAGTACTTTGCAAGTTAACTCTTACTGTTGCTGCCCTTCCCTGAAGAGAAAGTGGAATTGATTTTGTTTGATAGCAGCAAAATTTGAGAGGCATTCTTGAATGGAGTTGTCATACCATCGCTCAGTTTCCTTTTTAGGCCCTGCACAGCACTGAGACTGCTTTCTTATGCTTTGTCCTGATAAACTGGTCATCGATTAAAGTGCAGCGTGGCGAAACATAATGAATGTTCAGATTTGTAAATCTTTAAAGAAACACTATATAACTTGGGGCAGGGACACACACGCGCGTGTGTCAGTTTAGAATAGAGTAACAGAAAATGTAACGTGAGTCAAAAGTCAACACACCAGTTTGCTTTCCCACCATTTGTGATCCACATCTTCTGGCCATTGATAACATATTCATCTCCTTTCTTCTCAGCCTTAGTTTTTATACCAGCCACATCAGAGCCTGCTCCAGGCTCTGTTACACAGTAAGCCTAAAAGAAAATAAAATGCGAAATCTTGAGGAATAAGACTTCTGTTTTTAAGCAACCACAAATTATTGCAGAATTATGTGCACCAAACTGATCTGTAAAAGTTTTAAGTGAACTGCATGGAAACCCCCAAAATATTACATCAAAAAAACCCAACAACTGTCTGAGCAAGAATCCAAACATGTAGGGTTAATTTTCCTTATAAATCCATAATAATTGTGTTTTACTTTAATGATAAACAGAACCATTCTGTAACTTTTACTAAGTCATCACTTTCTTATGCTTCACAAACTCTGATATGAAAGTTGAGGATGTTTAAAATCTGAAAATAAGAGCAGAGAGTAACGTTCTGTGGTTACCGTGCTCTTCATTTTATGAGGCTTAGTGGTTCAGATTTTAACACATTGCACATGAATCTTTACTTCTTTCTGTGTAACAAGTACTACTTAGATAATTAAAATTCATAAATGCAGTTTAATGCCCATCTGAGTTGAATTTGTGCTCATATAAACCTTGCATTCTTCTTAAACTCCTACACCTTCTCTTGGAAGTGAATTAAAAGGTATTACTTTTCAGTAAGTGACTTAGGATGATTTTCCAGGTAATACCTTCTATTTGCTTATTGAATACATCTAATTCAATATCCCTTGACTTTCAGTAAATGCTACTGTTTATTTAAAAACCGAAATGGGCCAAGTTGTGAGTAGATATCAGTGTTTTAAACAAACAAACCAACCTGATTAATACGATTTAGGAACAGTCTACAGTGTTCCTAAGTTATACTTACACACATCATTGGTTCCTCCGTCATTCTTCCTAAGTATTTTTTCTGCTGCTGCTCATTTCCTGCAATGATTACTGGCATTTGCTGAAAGAAAATATTTATACTATTAATCCATCTTTTTAAAGGGCACAGACTCTAGTTTAAAGGAGGTAAGAAAAGACAAAACTTACCCCTAGGGAGTTTGCCTCAATGGCAGTTTGAACTCCTGTACACCCGTAAGCTAACTCTTCCGTAATAAGGCATGCTTCAAAACTGCCAAGGCCAAGACCACCTACAGTTGCAATATTTGACTAAAATGAGTTTAAAGTGAAACATACTAGTTTCACTACATACAAATATTACTTATCAAATAAGTAATATAAGTAAAATAAGTTTCAATACATACAAATATTACTTATCAAAAACATATTCCCCTATGTACATTTGATTGTGCACTGTGTTTGATTAGACATTCCCATGCAAGATTTTTAAATAAAGTTTTGTCAGATTAGTAACAGATGACTTAAAAACGACACTCTGCAGTTCCAGGGTGATTGTGTGCTTGAGGTGGGACAAGTTGCACAAAATGGCAAGAATACACCACTAGAATCTTTCGACTACTTTACATCTGACAATTTTCTTAAGAGTTCTTAGGAAGCAGAGAAAGGGCCATAAGGGCTCCTGAACTACCACAGCACTTAGGAATAAAAAAAAAGTGTCCATACCAGTCAGAAAACCAACCCAGTAACCTGTTTCTGACAGAAGCCAACACTTGGGGAAGTGCATAAAAATACAGTAACAATACAGCAATACTTCCTCAAAATATTTTCCCCAGCCTTCAGGTGACTTCCTCAGCCAAAAGTATCTTTGGTATCTTTGTTAGCTAACCCTTGACAGACATTTCTTCTCTGAATTTGCCCAGTCTCTTTTTGAAGCTATGTAAAATTTTAGCATCAATGTCATCCAGGGGCAGTGAGTTTCACAAACAAACTAAGCACTGAGTGTAGAGCCATCTCCTTTCATTTATTCTGAACCTGCTGTCTGCTGACTTCATTTGATGCCTTCTAGTTGTATCGAAGGGGACAATAAGCTATGACTCCCTTTTCACACGCTCCATGACACTGGTGTTTTAGGCATTTCTCATACAGAATCATAGAATCATAGAATCA